TACAACTTTTTAATGGCTTTTGTATAATTCCAAAAATAACTAAACTATCCGTTTTTACAGACTCAATGGAGGCTCCTTTTAGTAAAACTAACTGGAAAAATAAACGAATCCAACCAATATTCAGTCGTAAACGACAATCGGTAAGCATATCTGAATAATCATTGATTATATAAAAAATATTATCTAAACCATAATTTATATTTTAGGACGATAAATATCTACAATAATCAGTTAGTCCCGTACGTTGGACGAAGGACACTCCCATCGTTTTTATGCACGATGAACATTATATCGTTGCAGAGGTTATCTAATGAAATCAAATATTCATATTACAATAATTCAACGACAACCTCATCAAATCGTAAGAAATTAAGATTAATATATTCGTATGAAGTGCTTGAATCAAAATCTAATCAATTTCTTGTGAAATCAGGGAATACAAATAAAATGAACATTGGATCGAATAAAGACTCGGAAGAGAACTCAGTGTTCGATGAATCATTGGTATCATTTTGATTGGGATTAGATTACTTTTGTCTTTTACATATACAATTCTATATTCAATGATTATTTCCAATCTATGTGTAATATTAATGTTTGTCTATCTCAGGTAATCTCTGAAAATTCGTGTAGTTCATCAACAACGATTTCAATATTAGATACCCTAAAAGTGAAAAATAATTTTCTTAGATACATTTATCTTTCATTTTGTGAGGGATATTAAGTATTTATTATTTTACAATTTTTTTTATAGGACATTTTTGAGGAAAGGATGAACTCAGGTCAATCGATTGTAATTAGGACTACGGTAACATGTTATTTTAATCACGTCTGACATATATTATTTTTTTTTATTCATGTATTGGATTTTTTTTTTTTAGATCAACTCTTACAAAACTAATTCATTTGAAATGACTGAGACGTCTACCATATTGAAAGTACGGCTATATATATTTTAATGTTTGATATTTTAACAACATAAATCTCATATTTTTAGTGTCCTTTGGTTTTTAAATGATTGTGTACATCATTTAAGTTTTTATTTCAGAATGAATTTTTTGTAATTAAGTCATTGATAAACAATGTTACTTCAATAAATTTCGAGGCATCAACAGACGAATTGATGTCCAACATTACGACTGTTGATCATTTAGAATATACAATTAACTTACTCTTTGAAATGGTAAGTATTTAAAATGTTTTCAGATCAACATATTACGGTTGACTTTTTGAATTTAACTACAAATTAAATACATTTATATTTGTTAGGTGTTTTCCAAACCTGAATCAATTGCAGTTTATTTATTTATTTGTTCTAAAATGCAAAATATTAAGATAAGATACGATAGAAGGTCCAAGACTGCCTCTTTCAAAAGACAATTGTTGAATAAATGCATCGATCTATTACACTCAGAAATGATGGAAAGGAAAATTAATTCTAAAGGATTTTACACGTAGATATAATTATAATAATTTATTAATGTCAGCTAACAATGTTCTTTAAAGCATTTAATTCAAATTTATAAAATTATGTCAGTGGATACCTAATCTATTTTTTAACATTTATTATCATCATAATTTCATATCGTATTATATTTGTAATTAAATATGTTTATTATGTCTTATAAATGTAAATGAACTTATTTTTATTAAAGTTATAATGTTCGAATTTTTATTTCGACCACATAAAATATGTTTGTTGTACAATTTTAGATTTATTGGCATGTTATATATGAAGAATATGTTACCACCCCGAATTATAGTTGACTATTTAAACTGGTCGCTTGGTAAGAAATCAGACGAATACGTAGTAAATATGTGCTATTTCTTAATAGTTGTTGGAAAGAAATTAGAACAAGTAATACTTTTTTGAAATTTCAAGATTTTTTTAAATCGATTTTCTTAACGATTGTAATTTTATCGATTAGTCGAATAGTCTCAAAAAAATAATGAAGAAGCTCAAAATGCAGTCTATTTCGTCACAGTGGAACAGTGCTATCAATGAAGTCACCGATTTGCGGGCTAACAAATGGATTCCGCTAGAACGTCCGGAATTTAAGGAGCAGAAATAGGGTATTCATTTGTTTCCTTTCTCCCCTCTCTTTCTTCAAAATTTATCGAAAGGTAATTTTCTATTTTTAACCACTATTGAGAATTGAGATTTTTTGTAAGTAAGAACACGGAAAAAAACACTAACGCATTACTTTTACAGTCACCTTAAACACACTGCAATATACGATGTTTGTCATTGTGTTGAACTCGTGAAGTTTACGTGAAGTTGACGCTACAAAATTTACATTTCAACAAACTCTACTTGGACTTATTTCACATCCTTGAACATTTGTTGTAATTTGTTTTTAAAATTATTTCACGTCGTTATGCATTCAATTTTATAGTGCCTAATTGCCAGAGCATGGCGTTATACTAATGCAATTTATTTAGGTAATAATTTAGGTAACATTTTATTCGAATAAACTATTGTTCGAATGATTTATCACAATTATTCAATCAACAATATATTCGAATAATTTTCAAATATAGCTATACGAATAATTTACGTACCTATCATCGATAGATATAATTATATATATTATCGAGATATTATACTTATGTACTATTATTTTTATGTACATACTTTATGTAATATTAGGGTGGTCCTTAGCTACAGATATTGTTTTCTTTTTTAAAAATTTATAGCGGCTGTTTTAAATATTGTTCAATGTAATAAAAACAATAATGGTAAGAGTTCCCCTATCTGTACCCAATGGCGTTATAACTTTATAAGAAAGGTTAAGCTTTTCTTTTTCTTAATGTACCCTAGTAGTATGTTTTAGTCGATTCTGTATCCCCCACAAATCCCACGGATCCCAATACCCCCCAGTCATATCCCCTCTCTTACATAACCCTCTCGCCACATCCACTTCCTCCATTCCTCTCCACTCCACTTGACTCCTCATAGGAGAGGGGAGGAAATTCGAGATAAGGGATGAGAGAGGCATGTGAGGGAGGGGATAGGACGGGGGGTATTGGGAACCGTGAGATTTGTGGGGGATACAGAACCGACTAAAACATACTACTTACACTCTTAAATTTTAAAGTTATATTTAATAATTATATATAGTAGTGTCATTATTTACTAAACTAATAGTTTTACATAATATATGTACAACTTTAAAATTTAAGATGGTATAATAAAAAAAAGAAAAGTTTACCCTTTCTTATAACATTTTAACTCCATTGAGCACAGATAAGGGTTGACTTATGATTGCCAAACTTCACCATAATTGTTTTTTAATACACTGAAAAAAATTAGAATTAGACGCTAACAATGCATAAAGTTGAAAAATAAGGATCATTCTAATAAATATATAACTCAGTACTATACTATATTATAGGTATTATCGATGATAGTTACTTAAGTTATTACGAATAATTTTTTCAAATGATTCGAAAATTTTTTTCAAATTATTCGAATAAAAATGTATTCTTATAATTTGTAAAAAAAATCATTCGAATAATTTTTTATTAAAATACATATTTATTCGAATAATTATCTAGATTCAATTTTTTTCAACTATGCTAACTGCTATGTTTACGCTTGAGTCAATGCTTGATGCGTACTGTTCATGAAATAAATATTTAAATAATCCAAGTTGAGAAAAAGAAATTGTACTCTTAGAATACATTTTTTTTTATTATATTTTAATAAAGATTATAATAAATATACTGTCGTTTATATTAATTTAACCACTTAAATAACAATGCACGTTTTACATATATAATTAAACAATTCACCCATCAGGCATTACCCAGATGGTATAAATATTTTATTTTAAAACTTAAATTTGTTTTCATTTTCAACTGAGATTTAATAATGTAACTAAAGTGTATACATAATATCGGGAAAAATAATAATGGCTTCATAAAAAGGTATCTAAAAAATATTTTAAATAAACCTTCATTTCGGTATTTAATACTATTACGTATAGTCGTGTTAACGGGAGGGGCCAGGTGGGCACTGACCCCCTCCCCGGCGGAATTTGCCTCAAACAAACTGTGCTAGGATATAAAAAAGTAATGCGATTTATACTCATTACTTACCGATAGTTTCCGTACAGCACAGTACAGTGGTAAAATGTAGGTATTTTTATTTGAGTTTTAAATGTATTTTTATTATTCATGTCTAAAAAAAATATAAGTCTCATAATTTAAAAATTTGTTGTGCCCCTCGGCCACCAAAGTCTGAACACGCCTATGCTATTACGGTTTTGTTTGAATATACATGTATTATTATAATAATCATGTATAAAGTGCAAATCGTTGTATTTTAAGACTGATACTTTTCTGATTTACATTTACCACACGGTAATGAACCAATTCACAACAAATTAGGGCTTTCTTCTCTAGTGGACAGACGTATTTATGCTAAAAATCCTTTTTTAAAAAAACTTATTGATGGCTCAATCGACTGTACTGAATTATTAAGCCATATTAATTTCAATGTTTCTATTTTTCAGTCACATTCACCTTTCTTTTTTACGTTCCAATTTGCACCAACTATTCCCGTTATCAACCCATTTTTAGGAAAATGCGTATAGCCAATGAGGGCCTAGTCTCTTTTGAATATTAGTAAATTATTTATTCCATGATTGGTTAAGCGAACGAACTATACTGGCTGACAATACTATACTGACGTACAATTCTAGTTTAAACGACTAGTTTCTAGTACAGCTTGCTTTCGCTATGACTATAAACAAATCCCCGAGACAGTCATTAAGTGTGTATGGTATTAATCTAGAAAAACAATTTTTCTCACATGGTCAATTATATATTGCCTGTTCACGTGTTAGAAAACCATCTCCTCTGTTTGTTTACGGGCCAGTTAATCAAACAAAAAAAATCGTGTACATTAAAGTACTACAATAAAAATGAAACTTAATTTAGAATAAGTAAAAATAAAACTAAATATAATAAGTAGGTATCATAATAAGAAATCTGAAATTGTAATTTTCATTGTGATTTTTTTAGTAACTATTAAAAGAATTTTAAGTGTTTTATAATTTTTATTTTTTGACATAATATAATTGTTGACTTATAAACTTTCTTATTCTTTTTTTATTTTACTTTCTGACCCGGTGTCCCAAATAGCAGAATAATTATTGAAAAAAAATTAAAAACTAAAATATCGACTGTTAGGCGATACGAAGTTCACCGGGTCAGCTAGTTAAATAATAAATATTAACTTAACTTATTGAGATAGCAACTGCAACACATTTAGATAAGATGTGGAATGAAAGATTATTATAAAATAAGAAAACAATATAACTGTCGACGCGACAACGATGAATCGAGGAACCAATTACTTGGTGACACAATAATAAAAATAGTATGAAATTCTGGTATTAGATTTTTGTCGCCCGAACAAAAATGGGTGAACAACTCCACTGCCTCCGTTGTATCCTGACCTAGATAAACAACCCCAACATCTAAGCCGTAGATGATATTAGGTAGGCAATCTAACTTTCTCCTATCTCGAAGATGCTGTAACAACGGCGGCAATAAAAGTGTGATCGACGATGAAGCGATAGACAAATGGAATCAAGTTATTTTTGCACAGAAATGGATAACAGTTAATACAGATAAATTATTGAGGGAAGGTCTCTGTAGTCGGATCGATTTGGTGCAATGACCACAGAGCTCACACAAAATCGGACGACTTATGTTAAACACTCAGGTCACAACTTACAACACTGATGACTAGACGGGTACTGGTAACGAATGGCGATCGACTTCTGGCCGACCTCACACACACTCTATGAGTGATGGCAAACAAACGTTGATGACTCATGGATTGGCTGCAATAAGAACGCAACCAGAAAAAACTCACTTGAACAAGGAGCAAGAAGATAATTATTAAAATTAATTATACTATTACTAATGACAACATTTTAACTATTTTTTTTAGGTATAAAAATATTAATCATAAACATTTTAAATAATATAAACAAAAGAAGACTAGTCAATGCTAAATAAAATTCATCACAAATTGTTATACTCATTTAAAAATGTAAACGTTTAATAACTAAAGAAATCAATTTTTAATAGACATAAAAATTATTTAATTTGTTCACTTTTATATGACAATTAATATTAATAAATGAGTAATATATATTAATATAATTTAAAACACCAATCAGGGATAGAAGTTCAACACAATTCTGAGGCAATTATTTTTTCTGGTTTATATTTGTTTAAGGTTTCATTTAAAAGTATTGCACCTAAGGCTATTTAAATACTTATAAGGATTTAACTGAATTTGATAGATAAATTTCATTTAAATTATAAACATATTTTAGGTAGAATACAATAGTTTAATTTAACAAGAATTTAAAAGCAACCACATTAAAAATATTGTACATTTTACGATTCAAAAATTATTTATTATATTTAGGTATTTATCTACAATCTATAAGTTTTTGAATATTTATAACTGTATTTTAACTGTATATTGAATGTTAATTCATTATCAAAATAAAAATAGTAAATAAATAATAAGATAAATAGGTACCCCTTTATTTTTAACTATCTGATTAAATAAGAAAATGTGCTGAGATTAATTGGTTGAAATTGAAAATTTATAAAACTATATAAATCATTGATTAAAAATAAAAATATAAGGTTTACTTAAAATCAAATTAATTTAAGTAAAATTGATTTTGTTATGTTTAATTGATATTGAGCATAGTGCTAACAAAAATATTAAAAATAGTACTCAATGAACATAATAAGGGAACATTAATAATCAGATTTGTCTTTAAAATTATTTAACAGATGCCCACATATTTTTTTAGATGAATACCAGAACCATCAAATTGCTACTTTAAATTTATCATATTAAATCATATGAATTCATATATATATTGTTTTTCGATTTTCTATATATATATATATATATAAAACTATTATATGGGATAAAAAATGTTTTTCAAATAGTTGCTTAATACATTAAGTATTTGTCTGAACTTAAATTACAGCAAATAACATGAAAAAAAAATTTCAAATATTATTTTATACATTAACCATAGTACTTGAGTCAAGGATTTTAAGTGTTATGCTTATAGTCTTTAACATTTAAAAAATATTTTGATGAAAAAAATAACACAAGTAACATTTCAATTAAAAGATTTGGTTTATTGATCTATGAAAAATTCTTTTTCTTTAATATCTCTAACAAAGTATCCAATTCTTGGGTGTCATCTCCGAAATGTTTGACCACAACACAAGAACATCCTACAACTTTCCTTGCTTGACCGTTGTTGTCATACTTACACAGACCACTCCATTCGCCCAAAGTTTTGTTGCTATCTACTTCGATTAAAGGAATACTACCCTCGGCACATAATCCAGTAACTAATTTTTTGTACATGGCTTCTTCGCAGTTATTGGCCAACACGCATAACACTCCTGAACGTAAATTCGAAAAAAAAATTAACAAAAAACTTACGTTGTAAACGGTCAAACAAGTAAAGATGCATTTACCAAGTTTCTTTTCCAAAGCTTTGGCACCCTCGTGAATTCCGTGCAAAAGACTGCCGTTGACCTGGGCATTTTTCAACACTTCCTTCAAAAGATTAAACATGTCTCCGTTTTCACCAACCTCTACGGATTCTTCAACGTCGGACATTGTGAATAAGTGTATTTATACAATAGTTAAGTTTTAAAAATTTAGCAAATAATGGCTAAATTAATATAAATTATGAATAGAAATCTCAAAGGAGATATAAAAATGAACACGTTTTCGAGAAGGAAAGAATATTGGATTTGATATTGTTGAGGTTAAGTTGTTTGCATTCTGTTTATTTCGGCAATCAGTGTAGACAACTAAAGTTAAACGCACGGTAATTGCCGGGATTTGTCATACCTTAACGGTTAAGGCTGATAACCGTGATGAATTATAGACATTCTTACTGATAGCCGCTATTTCACGATATATTGATAATAGTCGCAATAATTGAGTGATTAATATTTTTTATTATCAACCTAAACAAATAACGCAAAACCATTTGACTAAATAAACACCTTTCTTATTTAAATATTGAATTGTGTAATGATAATTCTATCTATTTTTTAAAGTAATACGTGTCCTAATCTAATTACGAATTTAAAACCATGGATTCATTAACTGCAAAAGTCAACGCAGAGAGACGAAAAAGGGTAAATTAATACGCAATTTATGTTTTATAGAGCTTTTCACATTACCAAATCATATTTTGTATTCCTTTGAACTTATTACACAATATTGTGACATAATATTTGATTTATTTAATTCATTTTTTGGTTTTCATTGATTTAAATGTTTTCTCGTATTTTAAGATCCATAATAGCAAGCCTGGGCATTAACGAGTTAATAAGTTAAAAATTAAGTTAATTTAAATTATTAACTTATTTCATTACCAATAAATTAATTGGTACTTATCGGTTATCACGACTATCATAACGGCTTGGTAATAAACAATTCTAAAAAAACTATTATAAAAACAAGGAATAATTAATAATTATATTAAATACAATTTGAAATGCCGATAAATGGATTTTTGTTAAATACGACAGTCAACAAACCAACTACCAACACGCATGTTTACTTTTTTTAGCGCGATTTCATATTATATTTTCAAAATATTTGTTTCTAGAAGTACAACTTCGTGGCTTTGTGGCCAGACCTAACAGTCGTATTTTAAATAAAACACCATATTTTTGGAAAAAAGACGCGGCATCTTTTTTTATTAGATGATAAATCCCAGATTTGCATTGTAAAACTTAAAATATTTGATAATGTGATATAATATGACATGACAGTGGTCAAAACAAGTGCGTTAGAAATTGGCAAATAAGACGTGATGTTACACATGTTACTTATCTAAAATAAATCCACCCACCAATAAGTAATAATAATCACTACTCAATACATCTTGTTACGTCTCGTAGCTAGGTAGTCGCGATAACCGATAAGTACCAATTAACTTAACTCATTTCCTTACGAATTAACTTGAATTTAATGTATTATATTTTCATTTATCCCAATTAAGTTAATTTTAATTTTCAAGACTAGAAAAATATTTTATATTTTATAACCGCATTCAATAACAAATTCATGGAATTTATAAAAATATAAAAATAAAAATTTCGAAGAATTTTTAGATGAGACCATAAATAATATTTATCTTGGTATTAACTATAAATAGGAGTCCTACTGGTCTCTGTAAAAGTACTTTAGACTATTGAGTAAAAATAGGCATGCCACTCATTACATTACCATTGTCATGAAAAGTGGCTGTAAATCCACATTACAAAAATAGATACATATTATCATTGACTAAATAATTCTTAATAATAGTTGTACTCTATTATTATTAGAATTATTCCATAATCTATGATATTATTAATTAAGATAGATATTATTAAATATTATTGAATAAGAGAAGAAATTTAATTGATCAACATTTTGAGATGACTCTTATATTGAAATTCAATAGGTATTTTAATTAACCTGCCCATTGTATTATTTTATTTGTTTAGATTTTTATAAAATTAAATAATATAATATTTATTGTAATGTTTTGTATTAAAGTACATTTATTCCCTGTATAATTTTGTAGTTACACTTACAGCTACAATAAATATTTTTAGTTTTCATACTGTTATTGAATATTAAAGAGAAAACTTTTTTAAATTACATTTATCATATGTGATTTGTATGAAAGATGAATAAAAACAATCCCAATGAAGAAATGTATATTTTCTACTCTAATTAGAGTCTAATAAGATTTTTCTGCATTTTCATTATCGTTAATGTGAAATAAGATCTGTTGTAAATTGTTCATATATCAGCGCTTCATTTAATTTTTTTTTTTTTTTTTGTAATTTACTTAACTTATTAATTAAAGTTAAGTTAAGTTAACGATATTTTTTAACTTGATTGATGTAATTCTCATGTGCATTAACTTAATTGTTAATTTAATTGAACATGAACTCAATTAATTTAACTTAACTGAGTTAAAAAATATCATTAACTTGCTCAGCCTTGCATAATAGTAACTCTAAACATATTTTACTCAATTTATTCATAATTACGTTCTACATTATATTTGGGATATTTATTATCTTAAAATCTACTATATTATATTTTATCATTGAACAGAAAATGTTATTCATAGCCATTTTAGATTCATTGACGATAAGTGCACCCAAATTCTAAACCCTATTTCTAACTTAATATTAAGTAAATGGTTTTCTATATTAATTTTTAAAACTTGTGACAATTTTTCAAATAATTCATTTTTTATATTTTATTAAATTACTATCTATAATATTAAATATAATTCACCAACAAATTGATTATTAATAATTATTCAAATTAAGTATTTAAATCCAAAGACTATTCAAAACATCATTTAAGCATAGGTATTCAAAAATTGTATAACATAATTAATTAAAATTGCATACCTCGTATTGTTTTAATGTTTTATTGTAAAATTTTATTTATTCTATTAATTCTCAAAAATATTTATAGAATTTATAATATAAGACATAGTCATGTACTTGGAACAAAAATAAGACCAGGAAAAATGTATTTTAAAAATATTATAAGAATATTAATATTACAAGATGTTAATTTTAAGCTTAATCAAACTAATTTCAGTCTTACCCATTTGTATTTAACAAATTAATAAATTAACTTTTATAGATTTTTAGGTTTTTAATTGATTGATTCAATTCTGTAAGTGGGTTTTAATCAGACAAAGTATTATCATAAACTATAATTATATTAATAATTAATAAACTATAATATTAGAAACATTTGTCAATACTTCTATGGCTCATTCAAATTATATTCTTTTAATGTAATAAATATTCAATCTTTAGCTAAAAATTAATCCAATTCTGGATAAAGATAAAAATAAATCATCATTGTCTAAAAATTTAAATATGTATTTTTTTTATAAGATCATTAAAATATATTTAATAAAGTATTACAAATTATTTTTTAGTTTAATAAAAAAAAATCAAATGTAATATAAGTGAAAAAATCAATGTAAGTACTCCATCCAATATATTTTATTCTAAGTCATTTCTAATACTTACAATTTTAAAATTATTTATTTATTTTTTTAGATAATAATCAATAATTTTTATTTATTCGCTGTTGTTTTATTTGTTAAACGTTAGAAGTATAGATAACATTAAAATGAATACAATATCATTGATAATACTTAATACTTTATAAATTACTTAAAAATATTAAGTGTACTCAAAAGCTCATAAATACTATAATGCAATTTTTTCTAATTTCTTTAATTGTTTTACAGAGTCTGATTTAATTATTTTGAGAAAATAAAAGGGTGGCCCCTACTTACTACTAATTAACAATAACATATTCACTCCCTCACACTAATGGTTTAGACTCTCCCCTTGACTTTCTATTGTCTTGGATACCTGCCTTTCTGCTAGTCAACCATATCAACATCTTCACAAACAAAATTATTTTATCACTACTGATTTTCTGTACTACTTAATACATATATTTATTCATATAGAAAACCAAATCAAACAATTTTTTTTTTAACTTTATTATTGTTTATAACTTAACTTCCTTTTTTTTTAGCAAAATCATTAATTATGTCATCAAAAATTGAGAACAATATAAGATCACTTTGTATTAATAGTTAACCTGAATTATCGAATTTTTTTTTTTTTGAATTAGTGTTAATCTTTATCTACTTGTTTATCATCTTCAGTTAAGAAAATGATCTTTTATTACTACAGTTGGTACATAGAATTGATAAAAATATTTTTTGATTGGTTTCTATATTTCAAAATATTTGTTGCATATTCATCTCAATTCAAATCATCTCATACAAATGTTGAGCTGATTGTGTGGGTTTCGTTTACATTGGTAAATCATCAACTTCAATTTCTTTTCTATAACTATTCAATATTTTTCAACTTCAAATTTAATTTCACTTGAGTTTGATTTATAATTTGTATAAGAAACCAAACTTGTCAACGAGTTCTTAATACTTGGATTTTTTGTTCTTGAGTTCAGTCATAAAATGATCACTAATTACAAAATGGATATTAGAAATAAATATTTTTTACCTGATAAAATTATACCATGTGGGTTTATAGTATGAAGACAATTTTTTTTTCTGAATGAAGTATAATCATTTATAACATTCAAGTATGATGGTTCAGTTTCGTATAAATTGAAATTATCTCTGACACTTTGAATATAAATTATTATTGAGTTATATATAGGAATACTATTTATAAAATTATTAGTAGTTGAATCACTAATAGCTTTATTTAAATTTGTTGTTTTTATACTTTCTGAACTTTGTTTGTATTTAATAGTTTCTGTTTCTACATCTAAAATATTAAAACATTATTTTACTGGTAATTCAGAAAAATATTTACGATGTTTAATTACTATACAATATACCTGCATTTAACAGAAATTGAGACTTTGTATGTTATTAACTCTTTTTTTGCGACTCTTTTCATCTTATTTTAAAAGCATCACTTACAACATTCTTTGACATTTTTATTTTATGCCGTTTATTAAGAATTAACAATCTGTGCATTATATACAATACGTTTGTATTATGGAGTAAAAATAAAAAATAAAAACGGCTTTAAATAACTCGCAATATAGTCACCTTTTACAATTACTTAAGGTAAAATGTATGAATATAAGAATATTTAATAGGTTAATAAATTATTTCTGCACCATTTGCGTTTAAAGCTGGTTACACACGTAGCGTTTCGTGCGCTGCATTTTCGCGTTTTTGAAACGCCGCGTATCAAAATGCGAACGCTGTAAGTATTCACACGAGAAGAGCGTACCTGCGTTCTAAGCGCGTTTTTCTTTACTAAAAATGTGCAAAAACATATTTAAAATCATAGTCCATACGGTCTGGTCATTGTTCAATTCAAATTACAACGTGGTCGAGGGAAGTATAAACTCGAAAATTAATTTTTTTTTTCAAAATTGTTATTTTTACATCTATGATGGATCGGTTTAGTGATATTGAAGCGACATGTATTGCTTACGTTTTATACAAAAAACACAAAATGTAAAAACAAAAAACAAACAGAAGACGTTATTGGGTACACCCATTTAATTTGAAAAGGCCACTAGAAGGCCAATTCCAAATAAATTTTATGACCTTACGAACATATTCGTAAAAATTTTTTAAGTATTACTGGATGAGCATACAATCATTTGATGAGTTGGTAAGTAAATTATTCTGCACTAAAAAAATAATTTAGTAAAATGGTGGTTTGTTATGGTGCTTGACGATTGTAGTTCTAAATTTAAATCAGGATAATTGTGAATAGTTGTAATAGGCGTAAACATGTTTTCATTTGGAAGATGAGTTAAATTTAGAGCTGCATAACGAGAATTTATAATGTTTTTAGCTATTGGTCTTGGGTTAAAATGAGGTGTTTCATGATAATTGACAGTATCATTATGAGTAGCATGTGAAATTGAAAAAGAATCATTTTGAGATTGAATATTTTTAATTGAATTCAGTATATCTATGTACAGTTGAATTTTTTGATTTTCAGTAAGACATTTAATTTTGGGTAAAAGAGATAGCAAAAAAAGTTTTTCTGGGCGATGTACTTCTTCTTTATGCTCCTCTAACATTGTCAACAAACGTGTTTCAAAATCTACAGGTTTTTTTTTTTTAGCTTTTTTGTCTGGTTTCCTGTATTTTGCTGTTCATTTTCAGCATATTCAACATCATGACTAAGAACTGTTTCATTGTTCCAGTCCTGTTCGTCTCCTTCAATATCATACTCACTTAAACCATCACTGTGTTCAATGTTACTTTCAGTTCTAAAAAAATATAAATATTAATCTAATAAACATTACTGTAAAATCAGAAGATCCTTCATTTAACTCAAAATCTAAAATATTTAAGAATAATATGCATTTACATAAAAATATTGACCATGAATAATATATATATACAAAAGTATTTAAATAAACTTACGTTCGATTTAACATAGTGGGTCTCAAAAATTCCAAAATATTTGAAAATATGTATTTTTGAGTTTTACTAGCAGCTTGTCCTGACTTGGTTACACACTTTCTTCGGAATGCATCTTTAAGAGACTTCCATTTTTTTTGTAAAATAATAATTGCAAACAGAATATATTATAACATTTTTAACCATTTTTTTCCCCTCCATTATATTTTCTAACAAAACTGTTATTCATTTTATTTTTAATAAATACACAGTTTATAATTTGTTTAATATATGCATATTGATGTAATTGCTTACTTTGATTTCTCTTTATGTCTTCATCACAATTTATAAAATCATCCAAGCAAGATGTCGCTACTTTTGTTCAACTCTCATGTTTTTCTATTTTATCATGATAAGATTTTGAATCTGAAAAAAAATCAAGAATTGAAATACATGTACAAAATTCATTACAAAATAATCTTTTAATGCAATGTATTTTAATGTAAATTGTCAAAAATTATTTATTAGGTATTTAGGTGTCTAAAAAGTTCATTTTTAAAAATTTTAACTTAGAAATTTAACTATAGATTTGTTTATTCTAGATAGCTGTAGACAGGTACGGTACTAAGAGGAGGAACATGGGGTTCTTAGGTGTATCAGTTTAAATTTATTTGCTCAATAATAAATATAATTGTTTTAATTTATATAATTATTCAGTCATAAAACAATAAAATATGTATTTTAGTAATTATTAAATGTGTAAGTACAGTAGAACGTCATTAATCCGGACTAATTGGGGCTCTAGGTTGTCCGAATTAATGAAAGTCCGGATTAAACAAAATAACCAAAAATCGTAAATTATAAACTTATAAAAATGTTATTGCATATTTTATTAAACCATATATTATTAAACCTAAAAAAAATAGTAGATACATACATAATTGAATTACATACATAGTATTAAGGCACACTTTCGTTATTCACATTCGTTATTGATAAATATGTTATCGCAATAACCCGCATTTATGGGAAATTTGTAGAACTCGTTTTCATGTTTATTTTAATCTACGGGGAAAACTAGCGTAATTTCTTATTTACGTATTATAAACGGCTGTCCGGATTAAGCGAAGTCCGGACTAATGAGGTCCGGATTAATGAGGTTCTACTGTACATTATAGTTTATGTAATTTTAGAAAGAATCATATTTCTTTATACAAGGTTCATAAAAAACAATTAAACAGTATTTTCAAAACTTTAATTTTTCATAAGTTCATATAAATTATCTATATAAATACTTACGTATATTCCACAAACATTCTTCGCTTTGGACTTCATGTATAAACTTTTCTGTGTCGAATGCCATTGCAGAAAAAAAATAGGTAGGTAGGTACTAAGGTACTTATACAATAATATTCACTGTAGAGCAGTGCATTTTATAAGAAATTTTCACTGGGCGACAAAAAATGTTTTTCTCAAAATAGTCAATGTATAATATTGTAGTACAATTATAGTATTACACGTTTGTTTCGCATTATTCCCCCAATCTTTTAAAATACTGTCGACAGAGTATAATCACTGGGCAACATTTGTGTTAACTAGTTAAAAAATGCACTGCTGCAGAGTGTAAACGCACTTCGTTGGTATGATTTTACGAATGAAATAAAATTGATTGAATTTGTATATCGTATTGCGATATAGTAAAAAAACGCGGCAAAAGATACGCCCCGTGTCTATACACTACATTACAAAACCCATGTCTAATTTTAGCGTTTGATAGCGTACGGACGCTCAGAAATTGAACCATTTCGTCTTGGAGCGTTCGACAGCTTTTGAACGCTCCGTTTATGCTCATCGTGTGAATATACATATTTAAATATGAGTATTTAATTTTAGATAGTAAAACGTAGCGTTTCCGAAACGCGAAAACACAGCGCACGAAACACTTCGTGTGTAACCAGCTCAAAGCGTCTTGTGGGGTTTTCAGGAAGTGCGTTTTGCATATTTGGTCGCGTGAACTGATAAGAGTGGCACGGCCAAAATTGTGGCGCCACCAGATGTGAAAACCTTAATTTAGTTATTAATAACATGTAGTGGCGAACATAGTGACGCTGCTACACGACTGGTGGCTTCGTGTGCAAGAAGCCTTAGTTTTATTATTTAAATTAAATTTACAACATTTAAAATATTAAAATAGAATAATGAATACATCAATTATCACTATAATTAATTATATCACAATATTTCAAAATGTTAGCAATTATTTTTCAGCTGACAGTTCTATTATTTTTTTTATTTAAAACAAAATGTTATTTACAATCTGTAATTAAAATGCTTTACGATAAGTAAATTGAATGAGATTTGATTGACAGGAAGGGGAAGACGCCCATTAACGGCATTCCATGGAAAATGTTATAGGGAGAGAATAGGTCCCTACATCTGTTCCTTTTTTGGCGCCTGGGTGGGTTATCTGGGATTTGTTTGGATGAAAGTTGATTGTAATGCAAATGTCTTAATATAGTAAGTCATTACAGATGTACCAGAGAGCATATGATACTAAACGTAGGTAAATAGACTGAAATGCCTGTATTTTTCTGGTGATAGATGGTTTGGCTGAGCCCCAAAGTTGAATATCATACTACCATATGGGTCTGGTGAGCCATGTAGAGTGTTCGTTTGGTTTTGAGGGAAAGCTTTAAGTGGAGTAAAGATCTAAGAAGGTGTAGTCTCAAATAGAGGGATTTATGTTTGTTTTTTAAGTGTGGACCCCAAGTGAGGCGTTTATCAAGCGTTAATCCTAGGTATTTAATTTGAGTATAAGATAGAATTTGTACATTATCGATAAACGTTGGAGGGCGTTCTAAGGAGTGTAAGATGAAGATGATTTGAGCGGATTTAATTGTATATACTTAGATTTTCCAGCTGACGGTTTCTATAATCGAATGATGTTGGACAAGCATTTCCATAATTAGCAATTCTCGCGTATTCTCGTCGTTTTAACTAATTATATACATTGTGGACGAGGTGTAGCCCGTAAATTTCCAATGTATATAAAAATATACTTTTATTTCTTATGATACTGTCTATTGGACCTTAATATTACACTGATAAGGAATAATAATTTTATTCGGATTTTATATTTTAGGTATTCTATGTTTATTATTATTCCTAGATTAAAAATAAAAATGTCCATGTATAATCCAGGCTCCCTTTTAACGTAAACCATAGGCAGTTGTCAGTCGTGTGTGATGGGAAGTATGGTCCTGGTGCTATAATATTAAAAATATTTTATATTTGTTAATTTATTAGTTCTATTTTACTTCATATAAAACTACTTATTAAATTTTATTCATTCAAATATTTTACTATGTGTACATATATAGTACTTTCATGTATGTGTGCACAGAAATATATCCATTTGTAAGTTATATTTTTGTTTTGAAGATCTGAATACTATCTTAAATGTTTTAATTGTACGATTAATAATTTATAAAAATTAAATATACAGGTTTATGTTGGCGATTTACCCAATGATTTTTTACGACTTGATATGGTTCCATTAGCTGACTCTACAACTAGATTGCAACAAGAAGCTGCAGACCAACAAGCAGCAATGGCTCTTCAACAGAATCTATCATATGTACAAGGAGATCGAGATAGAAATAGATTAAATATTACAATTGTTCAAGCACGACTTGTCAAAAACTATGGTTTAACTAGAATGGATCCATATGTACGACTCAGAGTTGGGCATTGCGTATATGAAACACAAACGGACCCTAATGGTGGTAAAACACCTAAATGGCATAAAATTATTCAAACGTAATTACATTTTTAGTATTATCTATTATTTTACAAATTATTTACTTACATCATTTAATTATATACTTATTATTTAATTAAAAATAATTATTTAGGCTTCCACAAGAAGGTGTTAATCAAATTCACATAGAAGTATTTGATGAATGTTCATTCAAAATGGATGAACTCATTGCATGGACAACAATACCAATTCCTATTCAAATTTATAAAGGAGTTACTATTGAACAGTGGTATGATCTAACTGGTAAACAAGGACCCAATAATGAAGGAACTATAAATTTAATTTTTAGCTTTGGAGTAAGAATTTAATTTTACCATATTTTTTATTTGTTTATTTTTTTAATATTTTTATTTTGTGATGTATAATTTGTTCAAAATGATATTAATTTTACTATTCCATTTGACTTTAGACTCCACCAAATTTGGTATTACCAAATTCACTTACGATGTTACCACAGATGCCTAAGTTCATGGGTTCAAATGCCAATTTAACTCCTATTTACATTCAACCTACTGCACCACAAGTGCCGCAAGTTTTTAGTTCTGATGACTTGAAACAAGTAAAATATTTTACTAAATATTTTATAAATTGTATTAATTATTATCCTTTTATAGATTCAAGATATGTTTCCAAATATGGATAAAGAAACAGTGAGAACTGTTTTTGAAGCCAATAACGGTAACAAAGATCTTACTGTTAATTCATTACTCCAGATGGTTGACTAAATTTTAATTAAACTGCTTAGTCAACCTTATAACTATTATTATGTTTGTGCCATTCAATATCAACATTCTCAAAAGATACCAGATAATTATCTATTATATTATAGTTACTATAATATATTCACTCGTGTTTATGATTATTCTTTTAATTAAATGCAAATAACTTAATATGTATTGATAAAAATAATAATTTTAAAGTATTAAATGTTTACTTGTAGTGGTTTAACATAATTTAGTCAATCTCAAACTAAATCAATAGTGTTTATTGATGACATTTCTTATAATGTTTATAATTAAATGACAGATTATAATTCCACTTATTTATACCACAAATATTATATAATTTAATTATATTCTATTCTTGATATCCTTTTGGTATTTTATTTAAATTTTAGTATGACATTTTTTTTATTTATAAAAATTTTAATTAAATAAAATTGAATCTATACATTCCAAACAATTTCTCAAAATAATATTTGTGTATTCATAATTAATAGATTTGTGATACTCTTATAGGCAATAGGTTCCATTGATGAATTTTATAATATAAAACCATAGGTACTTTAAAATCTGGGAAAATAAAATGATTTTGGTTTATATTTAATATTCATATGGTATGTTATATTTGAAAATATTAAAGATTATTATACTTAATAAAAACTAAATACAATTTTAATTCTAGACATTTTCTTTTAAAAATTGAGCATTTGATTAATTAATCTCTTTGTTTATTTTAAATTAACATGCATTTTTAAGTCATTTATTTTCAAAGCATAAGCATAACCTAACCACTAGTATTGATTTGTAAAATTAACTAAAAATATTTTAGTACAAAATATGAAATTGTATAAGAAAAAAAAAATGTTTCCAGCAGTATTCCATTGGTAAACTCAAAATTTAGTTCTAGAGACTATCAAGATATTACTTTTTGAAGAAATAAAAATGTCTTAAATCATATTTAAGTAAAAAAAAAAAAATAATTATAATCCACTAATTTCCAAAAAAAAAGAAAAATTAATTAATATCCAATTGAGTTAATAGTTTCTTTTATAAAAGAAAAATTTTAAAAAATATGTACTTAAAATATTAATATTTTATTTCTTTATATGATTTTAAACAGTAGTAATTATTTATTTTTGCATTGTTGAATTAATCACACCGAATTAATATTTCACTAAAAAAAATTGGGAAATTCTTGTCTGTTATAATTTAATTTCACAGAGAAATCATTTTATACACATTTCTAAATCCTCTTTATTACATGTTACTGAATAATTATTTTATTGTTACTCATTACATTTTTTTTTTCTTAATTGATTAATCTTTTATTTGTAGTATAATTTCCTTGGTTTTTTTGTAGTTTTATTTGTTTGTTATTTTTATTTATTCTATATTATTATTATTTGCTATTGATGTACTAATAAAAATATGCTTTGCAAATATTTGTAAGAGAATCAAATTTATTTTTTTGTCTAATATATTTTGCATTATGTAAGTACAATTATATTTTATGTGTTTACTTCTATTTATGTATTTATGTTTATTGATTACATTTATAAATTTGCTTCAGCTATTGGTGTCAAAATCAAATGTGATTAATTTATTTAAGTATATTATTTTAAAAAGAAAATATAATCTTGGAACTGAATTGTTAATATTTAATAAAACATTATGTAACACTAGTTTGAAGTTTAATATAAATACAAAAAGTTCAAAAAGTCAATTTTGTTTAAATATTATATTTCTTTGCGGACAAATTTGTTCCTTTAACATATACTGTAAGTCAACAAAATAAAATAAACTTTAAGCATTTGTAAAATATAATATAAATAAATAAAAACACTAATTATTCTACTGTGAACAACATAAAAAAGTCATATTTGATTACATAACAAAACACTTAAACATAAAAATATTACTCAATAAATATGAAAATTAAATATATTATATAATATATTATAAATAAATAAATAAATATATTAGCAGTTGTTATTGCTTGCAGCCACCTGCGCAGCTAAATCTGCAAACTTGGCCGTATAATCCACACTGTTCTCACTCATTAGACACTGAAATTGGGCTTCCACCTATTGTAAAAACCTTATTAAAATTATATCAATATTTTAAGAGCACATAAATGATTGTTAATATAATAGTTTGAAGATACTTATGTTAATACTAATCATCCACAGATGAACATGAAAAGAATTCTAGCAATCAAATACAATTCACCTTACTATATACTTATAGAATAAATCATGTATTTAGTACTAGGCCACTAATATTTTCATGATTGTACTTTTAACATTATTATGTAATAAAAAGATAAAATCACATTGTTTTTTTTTTTTTTTTATGAATTATAGTCAATATTTATATTGATAATATTATAATATTGAATAATTATATAAATTAATAAATTTAGATGGAATCAAAGATTAATCAAAAATATAAAGTAACAGCTTCAACAATAATATGTTACAAATCTTAGAAACTAAAAGTGTTTTGTATTGATTATAATATAACTGGACTAACTTCAAATTTAAATACAGCCTAAAAAATTATAGTACACAATTGAATTCTGTAATTTTCTAATTTATTCACAAATAATGAGTGATATTGTAATAATTACATGAAAATATTTTTCTTTTAGATAAAAATTATTACTTTTAATACTTACATCATTTGAAATAACGTTTTTATCATCATTTCTTGATGGTTCAGCCACTTGGTCTTTGTCTAGGTGACCTAGAAAACTGCTTAATGAAAAGTCCATCTGAAAATGACATAATATAATAAATGTATTGGATTTAATAATGTAGGTCATACATATTTAAATAAATTAGTAATTATAATTCATTACAACAACAAAAATTGACATACATCTGGATTTAGCCACTGATTGCCATCGTCTTTCAAAAGTTTAGATATACTAGTAGATGGTGTTAGACTAACAGATGTTGAACTATTGCTGTTTGGTAATAGACCAGAAAAATTAGGAGTAGACAGTTCATTCATGGATGGCAGCGTTATATCCATTAACCTGTTAATGGTCGATGATGTAATACTTACATCATCTGGAATATCTTCGTCTGGAGGTTCCCAAATTTCTAGAAAATAGAGTTCAAGGTTAATAGTTATCAAAAAAATAATTATTACAACTTATAAATGAAAATATAGTAGTACTATGTTACTTATTGTAAAGATGTGATAATAAGTAAATTTTACTTAAATAACCAAAAATTAATTTGTTTATTATTTCACCTAAATACAAATAAAATTTATATTTACTTTTTGGTGAAATTGGAGCTTGGTCTACTTGATCAGTATCACATTTTTCAAATTCCTCTTTAATTGATTCGTAATTAATTGCTGGAGCAATAGGTCTGAAGTTAGATGTTTGAACAATTGTCAAACTAGTCTTTGGTTGTAATGGTAAGAGTTTTTGAACAATGCCTGTATGTTTATTACCAGGTCGACCAGTTCGATTACAATACCTAGGTTGTAATTTCTAAAACCAAAATTATTTTCAAGAATTATAAGTAAACGTATTAGAGTAATTGTGTGAATATATTATTTATTATTAATAAATTACATTAAAAAAAATTTATTAGAATTATATCAATATTTTAAGAGCACATAAATGATTGGTTCTAAATTAAAATAGTTTGAAGATACTTATGTTAATACTAATCATCCTCAAATGAACATGGAATGAATTCTAGGAATAAAGTACAATTCACCTCACTATATACTTATAGAATAAATCACGTATTTAGTACTAGGCCACTAATACTTTCATGATTTTACTTTTAACGTTATAACGCAATACAAAGATAAAATCACATTGTTTTTTTTTTTTATGAATTATAGTCAATATTGTACTGACCATAAAACAAATAGTATAGTAAAGTATGTACTAGCTATACCAATAATTATATAAATTATTAATTTAGATGGAATCAAAGATTAATCAAAAATATAAATTATCTTTAACAATAATAGGTTATAAATCTTAGAAACTAAAAGTGTTTTGTATTGATTTTAATATAACTAGATTAACTTCAAATTTAAATGCAGCTTAAAAAATAAACAATACATTTTTAATATATATATTATTTTGTAAATAATAATAATAATTGTCATAAATTACTTCAGATAATTTTTAGTTTTTTTTACCAAAAAAAATTTTAGAATAAGACTAAATATTAAACTCAATAAACTTACATCAAGTTGAGCTTTAAATGAACCAGTTGAATGCAAGGGTTTAGGTTGCAGAGGACGCCTAAATACAGAAGTAGGATGAGCCATTACTTTACAACCACTGACTAATGAGTATGCACCACGTTGATTTTGATCCACATCTATTTTATTCTATAATTTTAATCAGAAAAATTCATAATTTGGATTTTAATTTATTTTTAATAATGGAATTATTATTGGCATAATTAGGTATAAAAATTTACTTCAGTTTGTCTTGGTATACTATGTGGTTTGTTATTTAGAGATCCACACGAACAGCCCTGCAAAATATACACAACATTAAGCTTACATTCAATTTATCATTAAAATATAATGAAAATTAGAAATATGTTTCAATAGTTCTTACTTTAGAAGAATTTAAGTTATACTGAGCAATAGAAATAAGTTTATTGAGCGATTGAGAAATACGATTTTGGCTAGTAGCTTCAACACAATCTTCAAACCAATACTCAAGCTGTATTTTCGACTCACTACCACACTAAAAAAATACAATGAAAATGTGAATATCCACATATTTCTGGTTTAATTTATATTGAATATCATTACTATGAGATAAAGTTCTCCAATTTTTATCAATTCAACATTAGCTAATGTCCATCCTTGTTTAATTCTAGCAATAAATTCTTCTTTTTTCTCTTTTTCTTGGTCGTGTGATGAAATAACAGGGTGGTTTTTTGGAGGACTTGCTAACAAGATATCCAAACCTTTTTCTCCTTCATATGTTGCATCTGTTATTGGGCATACAGTAGATTGACATGGGGTTGGATTACTTTCTTGACTACCTGATAAAGATGCTGAATTAACAGTTTCTGTGCGCGCTCGTTTGACATAAGGTTTTTGTACTTTAGTTGAAGGAAACTTAAGACAAAAACATATACATTAATAAAATATATAGAAATTAATAATATTAAAATATTACTTTTTGAAGAATTGATTCAACAGATTCTTTGGAAATCCCATGAGTATTTCTATGAGCTAGTAAACTAACATTTGTGTTCTCTATATCATTAAAATTTACACTGATGGGAGTTATAGTAACTCCAGTTGCTGGCGCAACTCTAAGGACTCTTTTAGAATCTTGATCGACTTCAAGTGTATTAACTCTATGTATTTGTTCACGCTAATAATATAGTGTTAAAGAATATTTAATTTAGAAGAAATTATGATAAAAATAACAATAAGTTATAAGATTCTTATTAATATAGTATCTTAATTCATTCTGCAGAAAGGATACAAGTTTTCTATTTTCCGTTTGCCACCTATTTTCTAAAAATGCCAAAAGCATTGATAACGGTTTTTGTAATTCAACTGTAGCTCTAATACGAGGATTCATAGCAAGGGATTGTACTAATGACCATGTATCCATATCACGTGGTCTTAATTCAACACTTACTTTTCCTGGTAATTTTAAATCACCAATTGTATCTGAAAAAAAAAAAATTCATAACTAATCTATAATGAGAAGCAATTCAAAAGTAAAATATACCTTCGAGACAGTTGAGTTTTCTCAAAGCTCGGCAATGTGGTGTTTTAACTCTCCACATTTTTCCTTTACTCCTGACTTTAGTTGAACCATGATATATCATTTCATATAATTTAGACCAGTTTTTATCATTACAAAATCCAATTCTTCGTTTCAACTCACCGTAATTAATCAGTCCATAAAGTTCTTGTACTACTTTTTGCATTTCTTCAAAAATATATTGAAATTAGATAATTAACAAAAAATAATTATATATACTATATGATCCAATTAAATAATACCTTTAGGAAATTCAATATATTTGCAAATTTTGTGCCATGTTCGATAATAAAAGTGTCTCAATTGTTCTTTACTTTTAACAGCCTGTTCACAAGAACCTTTACGTTTAGCTCTGTTAACCATAAACCATTGAATGGATTCAAAATCTTTGCCAAATTCATTTAAACCATCAAAAAAAGAATTGGTATCCTCAGCTGACCAAAGCTCTCTTCTGATTTTTGAAGACTTGAAAACAGGGGCATCATTTGAGTCTACAATGAATTATAAATCATAAATCAGGTGTTCACCTACAATTTGTGTATAAATACAGCACACAAACCTAACTTGGAGCAACTGGGTCCGGGCGAAGTAGACGCTGGTGTCATTCGTAACTTTTTGGATACCCTAGCACTGGTCCTTAACAACACGCCCTTTTCCGAGACCACAGTTGGTACTTCGGGCTCTGTGGGGCTGTACTCAGTCTTTATCTCGGTTTTAATTTTTTCGTCCATATTAGCGCCAGGTCAAAGATGAAAGAACTGCGAGGACGGCAATATTTTGACCCAATTAAAAAATTGGCAGCGCGAAACGAAAGTTAAAAAATATGGAGAAACACTCACCCAAGACGATGATCGCCTTAGAAACGGAACAAGAACACCAAAGCTCATGCCGAGCTCACTGGAGTCAGCTGGAGCGTTCCGACTAGCGCAGAACTTTCGACGAGCCGAGATCAATTAGCGCCATTGTGGACAATCCTCTGAGTAACGTCAAGAACGGTTAGTGGTCGTAGGGTCCGGTCGCGGGGGGAAGTGATTAGCGGTCGGTCAGTGGTCGGACGACAGGACCATGGCTCTCGGGAAAACGAAACGATAGGAAGACACGGATCGAGATTTGTCGTTATCCGCACGAATAAATAATGATAAACAGATACATGAATTGTGTTCTAATCAAACGGACACACAACAACAAATATGGCGAAAAGATCTGTTATCATCATTGCAACGGTGCTTCGATGGCGGCGGCGCGAGCACGAAGAAGGGGAAGAAAACAATAATAATAATATCAGTAGTAGAATTATTATTAGAAATAGTCGTAACAGGTCTACTAATAATAATTTTATTAGTGATGATAATGATCGACGGGCGCACGGAAATCACATACGAAGAGAGAATGCCAGCCGAGACGTTCGTACAAGAGAATGGATGGTGCGCATTGAAAAAAAACCGTTTCGAAGTCGAAGCGTGGAACGAGTGGATACATCCGCATAGCGCAGAACTGGGTCAACTTTTAAGAGCGGAAAGCGTTTTCTTAAAGCCTGTCACCCTCCGTGCACGCACCATGTGGCGTAAACTTACAGGTGGACGGTGCGGGCAAGAAATGGCAATCGTGGTGTAGACAAGACACCGCGGCGGGGGCGTCGAGGGACCAGGGTTGGATCCTTTTCGCAATAAAGCTGCCCTGCAGACGAATACGTACATCGGAGATTGTCAGCACATGTGGTAACGGATTTAACGTCGGTACCGGGCATGCAAAGCACAGGGAGTCTTGAAACTGACGTTTCTTAAGGGCCTCGGATATAAACCGTTGATTTTCTTGATGTCGTAAAATAATGCATTGTGATTATATTATCAGGGTCGTTCCAAGGTTTTTCGGAGACAGGGGAAAATTAATTTGGGGGCCCTTCGACCATAATAATAAGATATGATAAGCAAAATACTGAGAATAACAAAATTCTTGCAAACGTATTTTTCTAAATCTTAACCAATCAAGCTCATTTAATGTCATGTACTGCATTACCATAGGTGTTACTAGATCATAAAGTTAGGGGGGCTTCAGTCCTAAAATATTTAAGATAAGTAAAAAAATGTGGGGGCTCTGCTAAACTCGTCCCTCAAGTAATATTCATTATTAAATTATAATATTATTTTATTAATATACAATGTATAAGACAGATAAAAGAAGTAATATTGAGGTAAACATTAAAATATTAACATATTTATTAAGTATTATTTTAGATACAAGTTAAATTTTCTTATAAATTAAAAACTTAAAGGAATTTTATAACTATAACAGCTAGTATTGGCAAATTTATTTAAAATGTCTTCTTTGTTAAGAATGTTTGACAAATCCCTTTCAATTGCTATGATTGTTAACTTGGAAAATCGATTTGGTAATATAGTTGACCTTGTGTAGGTGTTTATTCGACAAATTGCTGAGAATGTTCTTTCACAATATGCGGAACTTGTTGGAATTGCAAGCGTTAAATGTAGCATTTTGTATAAGTTTGGGATAACAGATTTTTCAACAATACTCTTTAGCTGCTTTAAATGTTCCTGATTGTTAATGTTTTAATTGATTTTCATTACAATTTTTTGCAACCAAAATTTTTGATTTTAAGTCAGTTTCATTAATATTTCGTTACTCGTTAATCGTTATCTCAAGTTATTAATAATCGTACGTCTTTTACGACTATTTTTGTGTTTAATTTATTAATAATTTCTAAATAATATTTAAGTAGTAAAACCTTATATACAATCATCGTATTACAATGATACGTGTAACCAAAATAAATAAATATTTTTCCAAGATATTAATACAAAAAATAAAACGATATTTTAAATTAAAATTAAAAATGTAGCTACCGTCAGTGAGACTAAAAATTATGACAGGGGGGGCTTAGTCTCCTCAAGTCCCCCATAGTTACGCCTATGTGCATTACATACTTACATAATATAATTGAATATTATTTACGAATTGGAAACGAATCCCGGGATTTTATCTAGCTATATTCTTTCGCTCAAGTCTACGAATCAATCAGTCGAATGCGATTTCTGGAAATAATAATTATTTGTAAATACGTAAATAATTATTATTTACGTGATTTATGATTTGTTTTTGTAGCTGAGTAAAAGATGGTCTCGTCCTCAGAGTAGAGCTTATATATACACCTGCAAGTCCACCCTAGGCACGGCCATCATACAGCCAATACTATAATATTGAACGCTTAATTTAAACATTATGAAGTTAATATTAAGTTAATATTAATAAGTTAATATAATACTAAGTTAATACTATCGTTGTTAACAGATACCGCGACGAAAATGTGTATGCACTTAAATATGGATTTTTTGTTCTTACATCTTTACCTCCCCAAAGAAGATTACGGTATTATTATTTGTACACTACTCACGTTAATCCGCAAAAGTTTCACAGATGTTCGGCGAATTCATCATGATTCATGACAAATTTAACAATTCAGTTTCAACGATGTGATTGCTAATATGACACAATGTTTAGACTTAAATACGTTTCAATAAAATAGTCAATAATAATATGCTGGGTCACCGGGATATGGAATACGCTTCTTGAATACATACGGCACTTATAATAAGTATCGATCGGTCATGTGAGTATCTACATAATACAATACAATATCATGTAACGGGCTCCGATTTAATATTTTAAATATCTGTCATAGATTTATGGAAATCAGCAAAAATCGTTTCACTTCCATTTGTGTATGTATTATTGATATTTCATATTTAGCATACATATCAAGATAAATAGTGAATACTGCCAGTAGAATTGGATACAGAGAAAAACATCAATCCTTATCGGTATTTTTGCAATGGACCTTTTCTTCTTGTGTACTTGAAATTTGAATTTCCATAATTCATGTATTACGACTTTCGAAATATGGTTTATATAATTATTTTTCAAATAATTATCATACAATCATAATTATTATTGAGTTTTAAACATATTTAATATTGATGACGTCATCAAAAAATGTACAAAAACGAAAAACTCTCTGAAATCGTAAATTATCTGACAAAAGTGAAATTTTCTTTCATATCTACGTAGATTAAAAATGTTTTTATTATATTTATTTAGTTACTAACCTAACCATTATATTTTTTATTAAAAATATCAAACTAGTAGTCAATAATAAATTATATACTAAAAAAATTACAACCTATAATTTTACGCCCGAGAATGAATTTTTATCTTCCTCCCCCTAGTTCCACCCCTAAGTATAATAAATACACAACTTTTAACTTATTATTGTTCATAATAATTGCATATTATTTGTACTGTGGATACATAGTGCCGGATCAAGTGGAGGAGCAAGTGAGTATGCTTGCCCTAGGCGCTGTTGGTATAAAGGTGCTCTTAAGTTTATGAAAAATAAAAAAATCATGAACACACCTCATACTTCCACCTACATAATGGTGCTGCATTTTTATTAGCCCCGAGCGTCAAATTTTCTCGATCGGGCACTACAGATTCAACAAATTTATATTGTTGTATTTTTACAGTGTAGAATCGTGGAAAGAGTAAAGGATTGCTAAATATTTTTTCATATTTCTATGCCTTTATAACATATTGCATCATCTTAAACGTTGTTGTGGATTGTTTCTCGTGCAGCAGTTATGCTGACTATAATTTATACGTTTTTGTAATACTTTAATTTCATAAGCAGATCGATTTTTTTATACACTGACTTTATTTTTATTTAAAACCAATGTCATGAGAGGATCTTTCAAACGTCCTAACTGAAATTAGTTACAATTTTTAAGCAAATAAGTGATATTAAATTTTAAAAAAATGAGTGCTACCATACAATGAAGAAGTCATCCATTCTGGTCTAATGACTATTGATACCTAAGCTACTATATGAAACGAACCATGTTTCCGCATATTAATATAGGAAGTGGCGTACGCAGGGGTGGGCTAACGGGCTGAAGCCCCCTCCCATTGCCCGTATTATTATTTTTGGTTTTTAATTCTACCAATGTGTATTACCCATTTATTAGAACCACGGACTAAGATATTAATAAATATTATATACTCGTAAATCTTAGTCTGTGATTACGACCACAGTCCATAGATGGGTATTTATAATTTATGATTACAACTGAACAATTGTTAGCAATAATCCAAATATCATTAATCTAGCCAATATTCCAAAGATCAACCATGATGGAGGAACGTCTTAATGGATTACCTTTAGCAAATATCAATAAAAAAGAAAATCAAAATCTGACCGAATTGGAAGTTCTACAAATATTTTCAAAAACATCACCTAAACGACTACAATCAGGCTAGACCAAATAAAAATGTATTTTATTGCCCATTATTTTTGTTATTTTTTTTTCTGACAGGCGTGGATGCAAGGGGGAGGCTATAGGGGATTGAAGCCCCCCCCCCCCTTAGACATTAGGTAGAACCATATCGGACGTAGGTACTTAAAATATTTTGAAAATAAGACGTATGAAATACTTTCTATAAATCGACATGCGCAACGAATTATGACAGTAAAATACTTGACTAGCCTCTCCCTTTCTTCATTTCTAAATCCGCACCTGGGCACTGATAATACATGAACTTTTATGAGTACGTTCAGACAAGACACGTGTATCCGAACACATCCGTTTTTATTATTATTATTATTATTATAAGATATTATTTACACCTAATATTTATTTTATTATTATTTTAATTTAATAACCGAAATTAAAAAAAAATAAAAAAAAATATGAGCTTCATCAATTTCGATACCGACAAATTAACTATCGAAATTGAACGTTACTTTTCACTATAGGATACACTGTACTTCGATTATGCTAATATAATAATTAAATTAAATAGCTGGAATGATGTTTGCTGAGGTTTTTAGAATTTTATTCTAGGGAAGCAAAGCAAAAATATATAATAAAATTAGTAGTAATAATTAAAAATATTTGACTAGTACTTAAGGAGTTGGGGAAATAGTATATGAAAATTAACTTTTTTTAATATAGCTTCAATGATAGTATGTTGGACACCCAATGTTGGGAAAATCTTAAATTTTTTATAATAAATTTAATTAGTTTAGATAGGTACCAAAGCAATAATGGTCTTATAATGATAATTTAAGTATAATAATAAATAATGAAAACATTATAAGATTTTTTGTAATAATATATTTATTTTTAATACAAGATAATTAAAACCATACAAGTATAAATGTAGTTATCGGTTGGTAATAAGTAGCTCTAAAATTTATAAATAGTTGACGCTTTGTAAATCCCTAATTTTAATAATACTTAGTACAAGTTTGTAGATTTGCGATATTTTTGGTGATTATGATTGATGATTAAAAAATGTAATCATGATTACTGATTTCTTTAAAAAATGATTAAACAAATTAAATTTATTAAATTAATCATAATTGATTACGTAATTTAATCGATTATGCTCAACACTGGATGCACCTAATGGAGGCTTCTACATTTTTTTGTTTCTTTAATCAAAAAATAATGTAAAATAACTTTTTCTACTTCCATGGTCGAGAGAAAATTAATTTATATCATGATACCTTGCATTTTCTTATTGATTCAGACACTCATGTACGAATAGTGTCTCGTCTGAAATCCCTCTAATTTGCCAATCGCATCGTTACGATTTATTGTTAGATGTAAACCTGGTTTAACCTATAGGTACTATTCCATTACTGTTTTAGGGTTCCAAAGTAGGTATTTATAAAAATATAGGATGTTTCGAAAATAACACAAGATTCAAATCTGCTACAAATTAAATTTATTTCTTTTAAAAAAACATAACAAATGTATAATTCTCTTCAGGAGAAGTTAAGGTTTAACAATGAAAAACAATATTGGGCATATGACCATCCCTACTAGCTTTACAGGCGATTATTCTTTCCATAAAATGTATCATAACTGGATAACACATTGCCCCATCAAGTTCGTTGAAGACACGACGAATTTCGTACTTAAGTTCCAAGACATTTCGAACTTTATTCTGATAAGCTCGTGACTTATTGTATCCCCAAAAATCACAAGGCGTCAAGTCATAAGATCGAAGTGGGTAGTTTTGGTCACGCAACGAAATAAGTTTGTCCGTAAACTTTCCACGCAGCAGAGGGATTGTTTCTCTTGAAGTGTAACAAGTTGCGCTATCTTGTTGTAACTATACAAGAATACCTAAGAATACTTACTGAGCTCAGTAATTTTCTTTGGTCTTATTTGGACTAAATGAACATCAAAAATATTTGGTTTCAACTTGTCACACTTCAAGAGGAACAATCATTCTGCTGCATGAGAAGTTAGAAGTTCCTGAATAGACTAATTTCATTGCGTGGCCAAAGCTACCCATTTCGATCTTGCTGCGACTTGACGCCGTGTTATTTTTTCTTATGGGAATACACTAAGTCACGAGTTTACCAGAACAAAGTTCGAAATTTCTTGGAGCTTAAGCTAGAAATTCGTCATGTTCTCAACGAACTTGATAGGGTAATATGTGATCGAGTGATGGTAAATTTTATGGATAAAATAATCGTATGTAGAGCTAGTAGGTAGGGTCATATGCCCGATAATGTTTTTCACTGTTAGACCTTAACTTTTCCTGAAGAGAATGATATATTTGTTAAATAAATTTAATTTATAGCAGATTTAAATCCTGCGTTCTTTTTGAAACACCCAGGCCCGTATTTAGGGGGTAGGGCACGGGTAGGCACATGATCGGGGGCGTCAAGTCTCTGGGGCGGCAAAATATTTTAGCAAAATTAATTTTAAAAATTATGTACCTAATGAAAAAAAAAAAAATAAAACAATAAAATAAGAAAATATTATGTTTTATTATGTTATACCTAATTTGTAAATTAAAAAAAATTGTATTTTTACTATATTATAATTTGTTAATTAAAAAAAAGTTATAATTTGTTTAATTTGATAGTTAAAAAAAAATATTAAACGTTTTTCATTCATAAATTATATTTTAACATTAAAGAATTTCGATTATGGACATAATAATAAGTGTTACATTATTATTATTTATTTTTGGAGGGGGGGGGCATAAATTATATGATCGGGAGCGCCAAATTTTTAAATATGGGCATGGAAACACCCTATAGTAGAGTACAGATTTTCCTGTTTTAAATACTCGCATATTTAGTTATAACATGTATTGGTATTAGATTACACGGATAACACAATCAAGAAGATATCTACATCGTTAAGATAATTGCTATCGTTGTCAACTTGTTTTGTTACATGTTAAATTTCTGTTATATGTTGTACTCTGGTAATTTGGTTCAGTGGCGGCGCCAGGATTTTTTGCTAGGTAGAGCCAACACGAGATCCGGTTTTGTGGCCGAGGCCTTATTATCCGCGCACCTTCTATTAACGCGTGGCGTTACTCAAGAGGCGCAGTCGAAACGAACCCCGAGGTATGACCAAGGAGCCCGGGTCGTCATATTGACCACCAGCACCGAGCATGAGCCCGTACCTTTTCAAACCGCGGACACGAGAACCGTGTTGGGACCCGCGATTTCCACTGGGTGTTGTGGTTTTGTTACTATCTCGCGCTGTGCCACTGCCACCACGTTTCAGCCGAGGTAGGCTCCTCAACCTTGAGGGTACCGGGTCCGGAGCGGCTAGGCCGGTCCGGCGTGTGGTGGGGCTCCCCCTCCTGTGGTACCGACTAGATTTTTAGTTGACGTCAGTGGGTCAACCCGAGGTTTTTTGGCCCCTTCCACTATTCTAGCTTCCCGAGCCGGCTAGTGGTGGGCCTAGGTAGAGCCAACAATTATAAGGTAGGGCCACCAAAAATGAGATTTCAACAAAAGATAAATACTATTATTTAATATTTTCTATTTATGAAAAATGACTATATTATTA